TTTTCTGTTTACTAACTTTAGAATGTAATTTTACCACTTTAGTCAAATGAAATTGACTTTCTAAATTAATTGAAAATTGTTCAAACTACTTGTATATTAATTTTCATGGATGTAGGTATAATACATATGGAAAAATCTACATTTTTCATAACGGTACTAACTTTCGAATTTCTTTTTTCTGTTTATTAACTTCAGCGCATAATTTTACCACTTTAGTCAAATGAAATCAACTTTCTAATTAATTGAAAATTGTTCAGCAAGGTCAAAACTATTTGTATATTAATTTTTATGTGTGTAGGTATAATACATATGGAGAAATCTATGTTTTTCATAATGGTACTAACTTTCAAATTTTTCTTTTTTCCATTTACTAACTTTAGAGCATAATTTCACCACTTAGTCAAATGAAATTTACTTCCTTTATTAATTGAAAGTTGTTTAGCAATATAAAATCTACTTAATACTTGTAAGATTTATCACATTTTTTATAATAATACTAACTTATGAATTATTATATATAAATATTTTTATTAATAAAATTATTAGTTTTTTCAAAACAAAACAATTTAAATTTTAATAAATTATGGAATATAGGTGAACTTTACCTTGGGTTGATTTCATCACTGGTGAGTGTTAAAATCACTCAATTTTAAAATTGATGATTATGAAGTTTTTCAAATAATTATCGCTGTTTTCAATTTGGTGCGATCATAGCGTAACATATACATGCCACCCAAATTATTTTGGACTGCCGTAATTATAAGTAAAATCCCAAATTCAATTATGGCATCCCAAATTATTTCGGCACTTTACATAGTAAATTATATATAAACCGAATGAATTATGGCATCCCAAATTATAATTATGACATCCCAAAATAATTTGGGCAGCATGTATAGTGTAACACCACTAAAAATAATCAATTTTTAAAAATTTGTGAATACCCGTGATTTTTTTAAATAATCATCTAGAAAAGGGTTGATTACCTATGATTACCGGGGGAAATCATGGAAAATTTTATAAAAAACTGTTATTGTTACACAAAGTTAAAAAACTTGCGTATAAGTAAACTACTCGAAAAATTGAGATTTTTCTATAATTTCCACTGGTATTCACAGGTTATCAACTATTTTCTAAATGATTTTTTAGAAAAATCATGAGTATTCACAAAATTTTGATAATCATATTTTTATAGGAGTGCTAGCTGTGATCGCACTAAATTGTAAACAGCAATAAAGAAAAATCAATTCAATAAAATATGTAAATTTAAGTAATTATTTCATTAAAAATGGTTGGGAATTTTATTAGTATGTGTTTGATTAATAATTAGGGTTTAATTATTATTTTAATTTCAAAATGGAACAATTTGTTTGTGATTTGAATAGTAAAATCCAAAATTATTTTTTTTAAAAAAAAACATTCAGTTATAAAGAACAAATAAAAATTGATTTTTTATTTTAAAAGAAATTATTTTCAAAAATGTATATACTGTACAATATATACGGAATCAAGATTTGTTAAATTTTAATTGCTAAACGCTCACCAAACCAATTATTTAAAAGATTTAATACTATATCAAGAAAAATCTATTCTACAATTGTAGAATTCATAAAATAATTAAAGGAAATGTCGTTAATAAAAACAATTGAAGCTAATGAATGCTTTTGAGTATCTAAGTATCTAAAGATAAAATATATCATTTATGTAAAAAAAAAATTGTATAATGATTTCTATGTTAAATTTAAAGAAAATACCTAATTAACCCAAGAAAAAATGTCTTTCGAATAGTAACTGATGCGGTGAAGTGTGACCTTCTTGAAAATTAATCGAGATCACATTCAGTGTCCAAATTTTTAGAAATTAAATACATAATTAAAAAGTAGTGTAAATTATACGCTCAATTAAAGGTTTGATTTAATATTTCTCGTTAATCATTCGTATCCAATAAATAGAATCCATAAACATCATCATTAATTTTTCAGTTGTATTGGTGTCACAGATAATTGATGCCAATTTGTTGTCGCTAGTATGTTTTATAAAAATTTCCTGTCTCAGAATACTTAGTAAAAACAAAGGACAGAATAGATTCTCTTCTGTATTAGATTTGCATTTTCGCTAACCTAACTCACCTAACGCATTTCGCGAAGTTCGGCTAGGCCTTTTCACAACATAAAAATTATTCTAAAACTGAATGGGATATGGGTATAGGAACAATGTCCTATTTTATTTACTAATATTGTCCTATTTTGAAAGAAATCAACATTGACTACTACACCTTCAAGACGACTCCAATACTCCTTCGAATATTTCTACAACATTAAATAATCCACCTATACCAATGCGTATGATCCATTAGTTAATTTTTACTTATTCTAAGAATCGAACCCATGATAAACTATATCTAATATTCGTAACTTAACTACTACGCTTTCTAATAGCTAACCCTATTCTTACTATAACCTAAATAAAGTTATAGCTTCATGTCCCGAATTATAATTAATAATTGTTGAACATTTCCGTATGCTTATTATGTATATACAAGTTAAATAATTGTATTATTAAATATTGATTTCGTTTTAATTTATTCTCTGAGATTTTTGGCGAGGGATAATATTCATAACATTTCAAATGATCTTACTTCTTTCACAACCGTTCACGCAACAATGTCGTAACTTCGTCCATCAGTATTTTTGGTTCTGGAAGGTTATTAATAAACTAAATAATTTCTGAATATGTTTCATACAATAAAGCTAAATTGGTAAAAGTTGAATAAAACTTTGATCTTTTTTTTCTACTCCTATAATTTTGCCATGGGCTATAATTTTGCCATGGACTATAATTTTGTTATGGTAATTTTTCTAATCAATACTCCCCATCACAGGAATGAAATTTTTTCATTCTCTCTGTTGTTGATTAATTTAATGAATTTGTATCTAAGCTAAATTAATTGGAATACTTAAAATATTAAACAGCCTAAATCCTTGATGTATCATGACTTGTAAATATTTAAATCATGATATAGAAGATAATCCACCATACATAATTGGTTTTGGTTCTTTTGGTACCATATAAGACAAAATACTATTTTCATTAATCTACAGGTTTACAAATATCCTTCATTAACTTTAATAAAATCAAGCCAGGAGAAGTCGTTAAATGATGAAACTAGCGTTATTTTGAGGGAGGAACAGGAAGAAAATTGGGTGATGGTGAAACAATGTCGAGGTCGAGGCGATGGTATTGAATATTCTTTGTACCCTAGTTGAGTATAATATCTAAGATTTCCTATCATGACTTGTATCAAAATAATTTCGTAAAACTTTCACAAATCAGTATAGTATAATTTTTGTTTTTCGGATCTTAAATTTAACAACATAAATATTAGTTAATGTAATCTCTATTTGTTAAAAGATAATACCATTTTAAAAATACCTCATTAATTCTAACGTAACATTCTTTGAATTACCTAAGCGTTTCAGAGTTAAAGTAAAATTCATGAAATCAGATATATTCCAATTTTTAATTAATATACCATTTATTTAGGAACTCACCTTTTAATTATCAAAGAAATTATCTTGTTTGATTATAGTTGAGTATCCAATATTATCATTATAATTAGTTTCAATTTATCTAATTTATCGAAAATGTTTTTTGCATTACATGTATTATATTATACGAGCTCCAAAATGAACTCATAATTCAAGAAATTAACGTCTTTACGTAAAATACAGCATTAGAAGGAAAAGTATAAAAATTTTTTTACGAATTTATATGCACGAGAATCGAATCGTGTAACGAAACTCAGAAAATACGGTGAACATCACGTGAATTGAATGCGAAATGCGCACGAGCTTCGTATACTGTGATTTATTGATTAATTAAATTAGTAAATAATAGAATTTTACCGAAGTGGAGTTGCACAACTCAAAATTGGGTTCATTGATTATAAAATGTAAATGATTCAATAATTTATATTTTACAGATTTCATGATAACAGATATACCAATGATTCTGCTATCAAAGCATAAATATCCTATACAATAAGTATATTAAGATCAATTCCTTCTTTCTCCCCCCCCCGATATTTAGGCATTAATCGCTAAATTATTTAATTCTTAACAGATTTTTGACATAAGCATAACTCATTTTGATTAATCAGGTGGCTTAAAAATCTTTGGTATTACACAATCAACTATCCAAATTGAGCAATTCATTTACCCATTTGTAACTAGTGATACCCAAAAAATGAATACTATAAATAGCTGTTATTCAACTTTTTTAACAAAAAGAAAACTTGAAAAATGATGTCTTCTGAAACTTTAGTAAATTCATTATTAAGAGACTTGAGTCGACTTTATAATGATACAAATGATTATGATGTAATTATTCAAGTTGGAGAAGAATTTGATATAGAATATTTTAAAGCACATTCTAATATATTAAAAATTAGATCATCATATTTTGATTCCGCATTATCATCAAATTGGGCGAAAAAAGAAGGAAATGTTTTTACATTTAAAAAACCGAATATTAAACCTAATATTTTTAGGATTATTTTAAAATATATTTATACTGGAACTATAAATATAAAATCTGTAATTGTAGAAAATAATCTTATTGAATTACTTATTGCAGCGGATGAAATTAATCTTGATGAATTAGTTGATTATATTCAAAATCATATTATTACATTAGATCAAGAATGGTTTAAGAGAAATGAAATTAAATTATATAATACACTTTCACGTTATCAAGGAGTTTTTAATATTCTTTATGAACATTTTGAAGATCTTATTAGTAATAATCCTGATAAATTTTTGAATAATTTTAATTTATTTTCAGAATTAGAAGATGATGCTTTACTTTCACTTATTCAAAGTGATAATTTTAAAATGGATGAAATTGAAATTTGGGATAATTTATTAAAATGGGCTATAACAAAAAATCCAAATGTTAGTAATGATACAACACTTTGGAATTCTAAAGAAATTGATTTTATTAAGTTAACAATTCAACAATTTATTCCACATATTAGATTTTTTCAAATTTCTTCTGAAGATTATTATTATAAAATACGTCCTTTATCAGCACTTTTACCAAAAGAACTTAATGAAGAACTTATTTTACATTATCTTGTACCAGGAAGTTCATTAAATACAAAAGTATTACCTTCAAGAAAAGTTAATGTAGAATCAGTAATTATTGATATGGATCATATTTATCAAATTGTTCATTGGATTGATAAAAATCAAGGTGAAGTTTCTTTAAAATTAGTTCCATATGAATTTAAATTACTTTTACGTGGAAGTAGAGATGGTTTTGGTATTGATACTTTTGGAAAAAGATGTTATAATAAAAGAGCTACTCTTATAATAATTAAATTGAAAGATGATGATAAAATCATTGGAGGTTATAATCCTTTAAGTTGGAGGGGTGCTAGTAAATATCTTTCAACGAATGATAGTTTTATTTTCTCATTTCAATCTACTCTAAATTTATCATCAACTGTTCTAAGTAGAGTTAAGAACGGAAAAAATGCAATATATGATTCTGCTTATGATAAACATGGTTTTGGTGATGGTGACCTTCGAATATTTGATAAAGTTTGTGATCTTAAAGAATACGAAAAAAGAATTATTAAAAATGATAGTTTCGAAATTGAAGATTACGAAGTATTTCAAATTGTAAAGAAAAATACGTGATTGAGATCACGAGATCACGAGATCACGTTGGCAATATCAGTCTAATGTTGTTGTTGTTAATGTAACTTATTTATACAAATAAATTTATATTCGATGAAAAATTCTGCGTATTTGATGTATTATCAGAATGAATTACTATTCTCCGCGCATTATATCTCGATATTTTTACATATCGTATTGTATTTTTTACAGCAAAGTAACGGAAAATTAATAAAATTATATGAACTTTTATTTATTTAGCCATTTATCTTTAACTTTTAATTGAATCGAATTTTTAGAAAAAAATTAAGCGTTTAATCTTAGGCAAATGGCATAACACGATTAACACGCACCAATTGAGACCTTTTACACTGCTAAAAATGACACAATAACTTCTTAATAAGTGCGTATTTTTGATATGCCGCATTGATTGATTTTAGACATAAATATGCATACTTTTTTTTTATCGCGATCCTTTATTTTCTCACTTTCTTCTTATAAGTGAAGTTTCAAACAGTACTACTTTCATTGATTATTGTTGAAAGTATTCTCGCACTCCAATGATCACGGAGATTAAATTTTTTCCTATAATGTAAATTTTAGTGATTTACTTTTTGAATTGGAAATTGCATTGTTTTTCTTATTGGAAGCCGCGATTGAATATGTCAAATTTTATTGACTCTTAATTTCAGAAGCGTAGAGAAGAAAGCATTGGATTAGATCAGAGCGTGGATAGATCGGTTATGAATTATGACGTCCATGTACTTATTCGCACTTTTTTTTCTCTATTTTTTTTTTAAAAAAAAAAAAATGAAAAAATCAATTTTTTTATATCTACATAAACGTCAAATTAACAAAATTTCGAGATTTTCTTAGAGATTAAGGTATAAAGGTTTTATAGTTTATTTAAAAAAAAGATTTAAATCAAAATATTTTTGAAATCGATTTTATCATAATAATGTTTTCCATTTAAGTAACATTTTAAAGTATTTTAAATTTTTCGACATTGCAAAATTTTATTTCGAAGTGGCTAATGAATTTATATTACTTCTATTGTATATTATCAATAAGTTGTAGAAGTCTAGAAAAAAAATCTTTATTTATATTCTATATAAATTGAATGTTCATGAACAAGATAATATTCCATTTGAAAGAGAAAAAACTAAGCGAAAGTAAACTCGAAGAAAAAAATCCAAAAAAAAAGACAACAATAAAATTCGAAGCGGTTGTGAAAACTCGAAAAAACCCCCAAAAAAATATATATATCGAAACGGTTGCGTTTGTGATAAAAATGGAAAAAATAAACTCGAAAAAAAAGCGAAATAAAAAAATGGTTTGTGTGTAAATAAAAGATATATATTTATGAGTGTCCTTAAAATAGACCGGGGTTCACCTTCTTATCCTAGACCGCAACTGTATTAATCACGTGACGATTACTCTGAAAAAACTTATTTATATAGGGGGTTTAGGATAAAGAACCTGGACCCCGGTTCAGGATAAATTTGTCCATATATTTATAAACGCGGACATCTTCGAGAATTGGGTCTCATTGAATAAACTCAAAACTTTAAATGTCTACTACAGTCAAACCTCGATATAACGAACTCGCGGTTCAAGGGCAAAAGTTCGTTATATAGTAGAAGTTCGGTATGTAAATTTTTTTTGTACCGAACTCCATAAGTTTTACAGTAGCAGTTCGGTATATAAAGTTATCACGTGATTAAAGAATATTAATTTTGGCCAGAAATTAAGATTTAACAGTATAAATTATGTGAAATTTCAACCACGTGATCAAGTTCGGTATATAAAGAATTTTTTTTATATGCTTTATTATAAACGGTAAATCCATTTGATTTATTAGCGTAGTCCTACTTTATCAAATAGTACAGATCGAAGAGTGGGGTCCCGTAGGGGATGAAGAACAAAGATCTATACACATATATTAGTCTTAAGTCTTTCCGAACTCTTTCCTCTTTTATTTGTAATAGTCTAGGTTCTAACACTCTTTTAGTAATAAAATGAAATAAATTATAAACGGTAAATCATAAAAGTTCGGTATACGTTATATCGAGTTTATATGAAATTCGGTATATCGAGATTTTTTTAAATAATATGAACCCGGTTTTTAAAAAAAAGTTCGGTAAGTCAAGAGTTCGTTATATCGTGGGTTCGTTATATCGAGGTCAGACTGTATATGATCGTTGCATATGTGCGATTTTTGCACATGCTTTATTTTTTTTTCGCCTACGTAATTGTCTCGTACGGAACATTCATTCCGATATTTTTCCTTCAATGTCAGTAAACGACGTACAGCCCCTTTGAACGATAACCATTTCGGCACAAATTTTTTTGAAGATCTGAGTAATAGATAGCCCAAAGTTGAATGGAAGTCTTAATTGGATTATAATATCCTAAAATTTTAAATGAAAATCCTAACGCAGGATGTCATTTCCCATTCTCTTATCACGAAAAAAATGCCCAATTTTGAAATGAGAGTCCTAGTTTGTGCACTCTTCGTGCATTATAGGAAAAAATAATCTTATCAACATTTGGTTCACATATTACCTAGACTATCTCACAAAACAATGTACTACCTAAAAGCCTAAGTACACACGATCTTCATAAATTTGATGTGATGGCTAGATGAAAGATATTCCTTTTTAATCATTTCATTTAAATTCAATATAAAATAACAAGCAAATAACTATTCTCAACAAAATTCTTTATTATATAACGGAATTTCCACTAAAAATCATTATAGTTAGTATAGCCATGGCTTACGATCCGAAACTTCCTATCGAGAAAACCAGTACTGATGTAACAGTAACCGAGGAAGGAGCTACCTTCACTACTAAATTTAAAGCCCCAACCTTTGAAACTGGTGATCGGGCAAGGTGCCCCAGATCCTAACCAAAGTGTCTACTTTGGAACAGTAACCGGAACTACCACTCAATTTATACAAAGAAATGACAAATGAGGATGGTAATTTATATATAAATGAAAAAGTTGTTACCTCTGTAACAGTCGACAAAGAGAATAACTCGCAACAAGCATTTCCTGGCAGTTCGACCGAATCAATAGATAATTTTGTTCATGATGGCACTCTTACCAGGTACATTTCATTTTTTTTATGATTTTCTATCATATTAATCATCATATTATTAATAATTTTATAGTCCTCATTCTTAGAAATTACCGGCGCCATTGGTTATTACTCATTAGTTTCGAAATGTTCATTTAAATTTTATAAGTTCTTAATTACTCTAAACTATCACCTGTACGCATTATATGTAATTAAAAAGATAAAGTCCAATGTTTGAGTATTAATTTTATTATTCATTAAATAAACACACGTATATTTTAAAAATCAAATGAATTCTTTATCATATTTTTGTAAAGTAATACGTGAGAAAGGTCGGTTAACTAAGTAAAAAATGATAGATCGAAAGACCGGAGGAATGTAATGATTGAAATAAATGATGCTATCAAAGAGCTTTCACTATATTAGATTTCCGAAATAAATTATCCCACTCATACACTACCACCCACACAGACTATGTAAAATAATATCCCCCTAAAGGGAACTTCTCTGAGATCAAGTAATTTCGAGACTACAGTATGAATTCAAGGAAATTAACGATTGGGTTTAAAAAAAAATAATAAATGCAATATTTTCGCTATTCATTTTCACAACATTCTGATCCGCCTTATATTCATGTTAATGTGTTAAGATATTTCGATTTTTTTACTGATCGCAAGTACGATTCTGCGCAAAATATCACATTTGATATATTGCGCCAAATTACTGCTGGTTTGTTGTAGTGCTTCGACCCGGGTCAAACCGGATATTTTTCATCCGGTTTATAATCCTGAAAATCCGGATATCCGAAAAAAAAAAAATCCGGATCAATCCGGATTGATCCGGATACGGGTCGAGGCACTAGTTTGTTGATCGTTCTACAGTTTGGTTCTGATTTTAGTGTAACGCGATCAAAAATGCCGATCGACTACTACTGAATCTAGTGACTCTTTGCAAAAAAAAAAATAATAATGATGTAACTTGATTCTATAAATCTAATGACATATGCAAAAAGTATAGCGTATTTATTGAAATATTATTTTTTTACTCTCTCGTAAAATTTTCTTGTTGTTCATTTCCCTTTCATCTTTTCAAAATAAACCTAAAGTAAAATTTTCTTAAAGTAAAATTTTTCTTAAAGAAATATTATCGTAAAATGCTTGCATGGTTAAAGGACATTAATTGTTGTCACGTAGCCCTATTCCTTGCTATAGCAAATATAATTGAAGTCATCTGTTACATTCACTATTCCATGCAACTAGACATGAATATGGGAACATTAGACTTGAAGAATAATGATTTACAAAAAGAAATTGCTCGATTAGGTGCCCAAAATAAGGTAATTATAAGAAAAATAATAGTTTTTAATCGAAAGTCAAAAAGCAAGTGAAAAACTGAAATGTCTTTTTACAGATGGCAGAAATGGTTATGTCATTATATTTTAATAACAATCATAACAATCATAACAAGCCGTGCTCTTGTCAATTCGCTAAATCAGAAAATTAATGTAAATTAAATAAAAGGATTTCGTCTGATAAAATAATGTAAAAAATATACTAATCTTTGCTAATTAAGCCTTTTACAGGTATCGCTGAACTTTTATGGATAAACTTCTTGAATAATTCTTTAACCACGATTCTATACTGGATGTACGGAAGTTACTACATTTGCTAAGGATCAATCGGAGTAATCAGCACAGTTGAAAAAAAAAACTGATTACCCATTATAATATTTAAACGCTTTTATTTTTATTATGTAATCTATGTAATGCAATAATTTGAAATAAATTTATATTTGCTTCTTTGCTTTGCTTAATTTAAATATCTGAAGTCAGATAAGCAAATAAAAATAAATGTAATAAAAGAATTGAAGTAGTAGGTCTAATGGGAGGAAGCATCTCGAGCCCTAACTCATAAGATGAGAGTTCCTTCCTGCTACTTCACATTACTATCTAAGTTTTCGTTGTTTTCGTTGTTTTTTGCTATCTATTCATAAACCAATATCATCTAAAGTACTAATGTACCCATGCTTCTTCTTGATATTTCTCTTAAACCATAACCTTCTTAAT